AGATTGGCCCTGAGCTAACACCTGTTGCCAATCTTCTTCTTTTTGCTTGAGGAAGATTGGCCCTGAGCTAACATCTGTGCCCATCTTCCTCTATTTTTTATGTGGGCCGCTGCCACAGCATGGCTTGATGAGTGGTGTAAGTCCGTGCCCGGGATCTGAACCTGCGAACCCAGGCTGCTGAAGCAGAGCAGGCAAACTTAACCACAATGCCACTGGGCTGGCCCCAAAGACAATATTTTAAAATTGGGAGATTTATCATCAACATTGGGATACCCAGCTCCTCTTGAAAAAAAAATGGAAGATCTGGTGAGACTGGGCCTGCATTCTTGCAAGGCAACATTGGCTAGAAGTAAATTGCAGTTACCCCTTCTAGACTGAGAAGGAGCTTCTAGTTTTCCACAATCCTCACCACTCCCTACAGCTCCCTCACAGGGGCTGAGTGTTAATTGGCATTTATTATATCTCTTGCATTGTTGTTAATGTTACTGTTTTATTAGTAGAGAACAATTTCTCTGAGCACTATCTCATTCCTCTCTCCTAACTGTATCTTCCACTTCCAGTAAGGCTCACTGTTCAAGTTGAACATATTTCTATGTGTAAAATTTCCAGGCATCCAGGCCACTTTATTCATTTGTTATCCGACTGGCCTCTGCAGTAATTTGAGTTTGCAGCCCCTGTCTGGTATATGGCAAGCACTGCATTAGAGGCCAGGGATAGCGAAGAATGAGGTACAGTGCCCTTTTTGGAGGAAGTCACACTTTATTGGGGAATGCAGGCATATTAAAAAGTATTAAAAAAAATAGTCATAGAAAGAGGAGAGCAATGCTTATTAGAATTAGGGAAGGCTTGCACAGAAGAGGAGGCATTTAAGTTGTATCCAGAAAGATGAACTAGGAGTTTTTCCAAGCAGAAAGGCAAGGAAGCCATTTTAGGTCAATAAAACAGCAATCCCAAAATACGAATGTGTGAAAGCCCACGGAGTGGTCAGAAAATCACACATGGGGAACGAGAGAGGGGTGTCTGGAGATGAAACTGTGGAGCAGGTTTGGAATAAGGGAGGTTGGCACTGTTTGAATTCCCAAGGGTTTTTTCATTTTGTCTTCCAACATAGTGGGAAAGGCATTAAAAGTCTTTAATCAAAGTGACATGATCACATTTCTATTTCTATTACCAGAAAGATAGTTCTGACAGCAATTTGGAGACTGACTGGGAGGCTAAGGTGAGTGGCAGTGGGGCCCTGTACAATGGAAGTAGCAATAGGATAGAGGAGGAGACAGATTTGAGAGATGTTTAGGAGGTATAATTGGCAGGGTTTGGAAGCATACAGGAAAAGGAGAATAATCAAGGATGTTTTGCTTTATGACGTAAAAATTGAGAAAATATTTTAGTTGTTAAAGAGAAATTTAAAATAATGGTTTATCACTGACATGAGTTGAGGCTCAAGTGACTTAATATTTAACTTCCAGCTACAAAGCATCATTGCAAAGTTTTTTTTCCTTCTTCTTTTGGTCTTACAAATAAATATGCATATAATTTAGGTGCCTGAGTGCATACCTGATTCTGCTGAACCTAGAGGATGATCTCCAAATTTTATGTCAGTTTGGCGGAGTTTAGTCATGTTTAGCAGCTGTGTGACTTGTGGAACATCTGTTGTTAGTTGGCAGCTTCGTGGAATAATGTCTGTAGGTTCATCTGTTGGAAGGGGAACACCATATCCAGCTGGAAATAAAGACAAACATTCATTCCCAAAATGGAAGCCATTTTGGCCAAATGGACATATCTTATAAATGAAACCAATCAAAGCAAAACATTTGAGAGTATGCCTCTGGATGAGTTACTTAACCTTACAGCCTTGGTTTTTTCATCTGTAAAATGAGCATGATAATTTTACTGCTTACTTTCTATGACTGTAGAAAGGATTGAATAAAATAAAGTATATAACATATGGAGCAGGTTCAGAGACCTGTGCAATAAATGAGAGCATTCATTGAAATATTTTATATTTGTTTTTCAATACTAGAGTGTGACTCAAAAGAAGAACTAGTTAGGTATGCTCCAATGAAGATTTATGGGAGTACACTGGCTCATTTATAGGAAATCAATAAGTACAATAACATTATTAAATAAGCACCTAGAGCCATTATATGGGAAAATTAATTTTTTAACTTTTTATTTTGAAATAATTTTAGGCCCAGAGAAAAGCTACAAAAATAGTACAGAGTTCCTATATACCCTTTACCCAGCTTCCTCTAATGTTAACATCTTACCTTTGAATACTTTCAAAGAAAAAATAGTTTATTATAATTAAAACAGTATTTTTATTATTATAATTTGTATTTCTAAGGAGATTTGATATCATTCATATATATTTATATAAATACTTAAATTTTCATTTTAGTAAATTTACTGTTCATATTCTTAACCCATTTTACTATTAGAACATTTTTTCCTATTTATTTGTATGACCTCTTTCATGGCAAAGATTTTAAGCCTTGTCATATGGCTTAATATATATTAAGCATATATCTATATATAGATATATGGCTGTAGCAAGTAGGAATTAAACTGGTGTTAGCATTCCAAAGAGCAATTTTACTATATGTATCAAAAGCCTTAAAAATGTACATGCTGTTCTACTCAGTAATATCACCTTATGAATCTATTCTAATGTAAAAAAAAAAATCAGAAACTCAGATAAAGATCTATGTGAATAGGTGTACATAATTTCTGGAAAAAAAAACCAACTTGAATTTCCAGTAAAGAGTCACAAGAAATCGCATTTATGAAGATGTCTTAATGATATGGGAAAGACTCAAGATGAGACATTAAATGAAAATAATATATACAAAATTCTATCTCAACTGTAGAAAATCAATAAATAAAATGTATGAATGGCAAAAAGATTAGAAGGAAATATACTAAAATGTAAAATAACTTCCGATGGTTAGCTTAAGCATAGGTTTTCTTCCTTCATAAAAATGTTTATATATGTTTAATTTTTATGAGCAAAATTTCTAATTTTAGAATCTAGTGGAAAAATTTGTGTCTGTATGTGAACGTGAGTAGTACGAAAAATTGAAGCAATCATCCCTCAAAAAACATCCTATGTAAGTATAAACTCTAACCACGTTCATAAAGGCAAAAGACGTTAGGTTTACATGTATCCAAGTCATGGCAGTTTCTTAATTAGATCCTAATGTCCTAATCTTGAAAAAGAAAATGAATCATTTAACTAAAAACTTAAATACTCATCAGCAATGTAATGGTTTCTAAGTGTCCTAATGCTCTAGTCATTAAAAATGCACTAGATTTACAAATCTTAGTTTGCAGGTGTTCTTTAATCATCTATTTCTTATTTGTCATCGAAATTTAGAAAATCAATACAAAGTAATTGAGAAAATAAACTCTCAAAATAGAACACATTTGGAAAAATAAGTAAACTAACTCCAGATATATATTTGACATATCATTTCAAACTCCCCTGAGGTAGAAAAAGATAATTTCCACACCAATGCCAATATTGATAAACTAAAATTTTATATTAAAAGAAGAAGAGAATTCTTAGGCTAATAAGACCCTGAAGTAAAATGCTGTATTCTGAATTCTATAAAGAGAAATTGGAAACTTTAGCTTATAGGGCTTGTGTGGATGGTACAGGGTACAACGTCATACGAAGTTCGAAATGCATCTGAAACAAAACCCGAGTTTCCAACTAACAAGGGACAGACAGCAAATCCCTGATAACCCAAAATCCACAAGCCTTTATGGAAGACAGAAACAAGGCAGAGACGATTACAAAACTCCAATCTGAATCTCATGGGAACATGGCTGACATGCAAATCAGACTTCACGTTAAAAGGCTCAAATCCCCTCTTTGTCATCTCTTCTTTCTATGTCTACTCTCCCTTTGCATCCAGAACTGTATCACTATTTATTGGATTATTCATCGAGGGAAACTGGGCAGTATAAAACCTGCAATAAAAGGAGAAATCAAAGAAAAAAACTATTGGTTTATTTTTTTTTAAATAAAGACTAATCATGAAGCCCATTTAGCAACTACTGACTCTCAAACTTTCTCTGAGACTCTGTGGAGGAATACATGGGAAGGGGGCTTAGTCTCATTTTTGTGAAACCAATCTATGAAGGAGCTTTACGTTCTGGTAATTGGATGTTCCGATAGACTTAAATGAAAGTTCATTCATCTTCCCACCACCCACCTCACCAAAAACCACCCCTACTTCTCCACATCCAATTACTGGGTCATTAAATTTTATTTTTTAAGCATTTAGAGCTTAATTTAAAAATAAGAATTTTGAGAATAGCATAGATCCTCTACAAAAATTAAATAGTGCCCAACTGTGAGTACATAGACGGCATGGTCTGTCTTCATTCATTTACTCATTTTATCATTCAGCAAATACTTATTGAGTCTCTACTCTGTGCCAGGCACTCATCGAGTGGCTTGGAATCTAGCAGTGAGCCAGAGCAACTCTGTCCTGGCCTTCTTGAAGCTTACATCTAGCAGAGAATATGAAACAAATCATATCATAAATAACTCTTTAAGTATAATTTTGTTAAATGCTTGGAAGGAAAAGTCCAACGTGTTATGAAAGAGGTAATAGGGGAATCTAACAGCATAGGCTGTGAGGGAAAGTCTTCTCTAATAAGGAGACATTTAAGCTGAGTCAAAAGGGATAAGTAGAAAGTGGTCTGGTGAAATGGGGTGGGAGAGATAATTCAGGTGGAGGGAACAGAGCATTTGAAGACTCTGAAGGCGGAAGGACTCTGGTGCATTCTAGGAACTGAAAGACAGTTGAGAGTTGCTAGAATGGGAGAGAATCCCAATTATCTATTTAGTACAGCACCTGGTTCAAAAGGGATGCTCAATAAACGTTCATAGATAAAAGCCCCTTAGTAACAGCCCGATCTAGATTAAACGCAGCTTCCAAGTCCTCCATTTTTCTTCTGTGGTTGTCCTTTGTTCAGCTATATCCTGCAAAGTACTCCATGCACATTTTATTTGGACATCTTTCTCCCCAGATAGCCAGTAACAAATCAAACTGGCAATCAGATACTAAAGGACAGGGCCTGTCTGCATTGTTCTTTCAGACAAGTTCTATCTTCTGGAAGGAACTGTGTATGGAAACATGCAGGCTGCTTGATCAACGTCTGAAAAGTGACATAGTCGAATTTAAAATGCTTTTGCTAACAGATCTGAAAGAACATAATGTTGGCTGGAATGGTCAGCTTAGAATGGGGAAATGGTACAATGAAGGGAAAGGCTTTGAGAAAGCTGACAGATTTGCCCATGTAGCATCCAAACACAAACAGATGGTCGGTTTTTGATGTCTTTGCTCCCAGTGTGAGCTGGTGTATTATTACAATGTTTGAGTGACTCTGTAACCCTGTTTGCCTTTCTTCTGTCATAAAGCCATCATAAAATGAACCACTCTGTAGGTGTTTAATACCTTTGATGAGGATCTTAACTAGCTTTAAAAATTGTCATCAATTTTAATACATATACAAAGCACTTTATGCATTAAAAATCATCATCCCCATTTTACTGGGGGGAAATGCCTTATAAAATAACAAGATTTATAGCTCTGTTTTGGTTTATGGCTCCTCCTAATTCATATAGTTTAAATAAGTACTAATTTTATAATAGTTCACTGGTCCCAGACTCAACTACATTCATCTTATTTATCTGGGAAAAGCCTGCAGTACCTAGCACAGTGCCTTATTTATATTAAATCTCACCTCTCTGAAACACCAGTGAGAGCCAAGCAGAAAACACAAAAGTCTCTAACTGCTGAGATATTACATCATAGTCTGTTTGGGCTGCTATAACAGAATACTACAGACTGGGTGGTGTAATCGAAATTTATTTCTCACAGTTCTGGAGGCTAAGAAGTCCAAGATCAAGGCACCAGCAGATTTGGTGTCTGGTGAGGGCCCTATTCCCAGTTCATAGATGGCCATCTTCTTGCTATAACCTCACATAGAGGAAGGGGCAAGGGAGCTTTCTGGGGTCTCTTTTATAAGGTCACTAATCCTATTCATGAGGGCTCTGTCCTCATGATCTAATCACCTCCCAAATGTCCCACCTCCAGATACCATCACATTAGGGATTAGGTTTCAACATATGAATTTTAGGAGGACACAAACATTTAATATATACCAATATTGCTACAAAGTCTGTTGATTTTTTGTCTGTTCATTCATTCATTCACCATATAACTATCAGATTTTCTCTGGGCCTGGCATGGATTCAAATCTCTGCTTTATGGAGTCTACTGTATAATGCAGAAAGATTTTAAGAAGCAGTATATTATAGTGGTTAAAAGCAGAGGCTCTGGGGGCCAGCCTGGTGGCGTAGTTGTTAAGTTTGCATGCTCCACTTCAGCGGCCCGGGGTCCGCCAGTTCAGATCTCAGGCTCGGATCTACACTCCACTCGTCAAGCCATGCTGTGGCAGCATCCCACATACAAAATAGAGGAAGAATGGCATGGACGTTAGCTCAGGGACAACCTTCCTCAAGCAAAAAGAGGAAGACTGGCAACAGATGTTAGTTCAGGGCCAATCTACCTCACCAAAAAAAAAAAAAAAAACCACACAGGCTCTGGAGCAAGGTGTCCTGGGTTCACATTCCGGCTACATCACCCAATAGCTATGCGACTTTGGCATACTAATTTACCTTGCAGTGCCCTGCTCTCCTTATC